TTTTTCTTCCCTCTCATTCCATCCTCTTCCTCTTCAATATATAATCTGAATGTATAAGCCATGTAGGAATAAACAAGTCAAGGAATGGGAGACAAAGTGGAAGACAAGAATGTGATAGGAGGGCAAATTTTCAAGGTGGTTGCATGGAATACTCCTTTATAGATGCAAACAAAACTTCTTTTTGACAATGGGGGTGAGTGGGGATAATGGAGGGTGAGTGGGAGCACTTGAATGGATCAGAAAATGGCTCAATGGAACGTCCCAACCAAGTCAAAACCAAGAAAAACGGGGCTACTGCTGTTTTGGACCAAGTCAACAAAATATGCTATTAAGTCCAACTTCAAACGGGCATATCTCTCTTATCCGGACTTTGTTTTAGGTGATTATTAGGTCTAAATTGAAGCCCTAGAAGTCTAATTTTCAATGGTGGTGGTCTCACATTTAAATTCTAAGTGTACAAAGAGATATGCCTAATTTAGTGAAGGCTGTTCATTTCCCTCGAGCCAGGTCAACTAAGTCTGCTCTTAAAACCAGTTTTAAATGGGCATATCTCCCTTATCCGGACTTGGTTTTAGGTGGTTCTTGGATCTAAATTGAAGTCCCAGAAGTCTACTTTACAATGGTGATAGCCTCACATTTAAATTCCAAGTGCACAAAGAGATATTCCTAATTTAGTAAAGGTTATTCATTTCCCTCGAGTCAGGTCAACAAAATCTGCTCTTAAGTCCAACTTCAAATGGGCATATCTCCCTTATCTGGGCTTGATTTTAGCTGGTTATTGGGTTTAAATTGAAGGCCCAGAAGTATACTTTCCAATGGTGATGGTCACACATCTAAATTCCAAGTGTACAAAGAGATATACATAATTTAGTAAATCATGTTCATTTCCTTCTTAATGATTTGATGCTCATTCTTTTCCTAAACCAGTTTTCTTTCATCCCCTCCTGTTTCCTTCAAATCCAAACCTATAAAGAAGATGTTTTTTAAATATCTTTTTAAAGATTTCACCTCCCTTCTATTTGTTTCCACTTTGTCCTTACTCGGTTTACTGAAAAGTGCAATATTTTAATCGAAATGGGAGCTTCAAAACATCGTAGAAACTTTTTTTAAAAAAAAAAATTTGAAAAGAGAGTTTTAAGATCTAAAATAGTTTGGCCAAAATAGGGTGTAAGGTTGGGATTAAAGCTCAAATTTCATCTCTCTTCTTAGGATTCTATGAGAAACACATTCTGATTGTCATCATCGGGTAATCAACAGAAAGCGCCCAAGTCTTAGGGCCAATCAAAATGGGGTGTCTACAGTTAGGTGTATCTAAAAAAAAAAAAAAATTGTTTCGAATATTAAAAAAATACAGTAAAAATAAAAAAAAATACGAAAAACAAAAAATTTTGGTAGAGTTTTAGAATTATGGTTTGAGAATAGAGTTGTATTTTGAGTTTGTAAGTTTTGGAATTATGATTTGAGTGTGAAAAATTTGTTTGGTTATGAGTTTTGAATTGAGTTTGAAATTTTTGATGTGAGATATGATATTTGGTTCAAAAACTTACAACTTATAACCAAACACACAACCAAAAACTCTATTCAAAGCTCATAAAAAAAATTTAAAAATTTTTGAAAATATATTTTTTTAAAAATATAAAAAATAACAGATGCCAATTGCCCAAAAAAAAAAGTACTGTTCCGGCCGAACGTCTGGAAAGGACAACTAGTTATGCCAAATTTCAAAATTCAAAACCCCACCTGGAACAAGTTTTCAAAAGTGGGTATAGAATTAATTTTTGAAAGTTGTATCCAAACACCACACTCAAATATAGATATGGAGTCATGATTAAAACTCCACACCAAACACAAACTTTAATTTTTTTAAAAATGAATCTTAAAAACTCAAATCAAACAAGCTGAATTTTTTTTTGTACAAAACTGAAAATTTTGTGTTTATAAACGAACATGATAATGGAACATTGATGTGCAAAATTGAAAAAAAAAATTAAATGAAAAAACTGTTAATATTCTCAGTTTTATTGGGTAGTTGAATCAAACTAATAAGTAGAAGGGTAAAAACGTCTAATCTCAAGCTCTATTTTTTTATCAGTTAGTGAAATAATTATCTGAAACAATACTATGTAAAATTGATAATGTTCTTAGTTTTAAAAATTAGAAAAAACTAATAATATTATAAGTTTTACTATATAGGACTTATTGATTAAAAAAATCTTAAATAAGACCTGATCTATCATAACATTTATAAATAGAACTTTTAGGTAATTAACTCATAAAATTTTGAAAAATAATTCATTCACACATTTTATTTCTCCCGCAATCCTCTTATTGAGATGGCAAGACAAAATGCAGTAAAAAAAATTTAAAAAGTTGACTCATATTCAAATATTTTCTCAAAAACCTCTTTATATACATTTTATCTTGCCACTTTATTAAAAGAATTGTGTGAATGAATCCTTATTTATTTAATTTGCATCAGATGTTTCTTTGCCTTACGGATAAATTCAAGATGTGGTTAGTTATCTAGATGTAAAGCGAGCAACAAGACTCCCGGAAAGTGAAGCATTATTCTAACATTATAGGTTTTTTGTCACGGGGTTGCTGCTAGTAGTAACCGTGAAGGCAACGTCACCGCTCAATCGCAGCATCTATGAATCGACCTGATTAAGATGCCTACGAAGATGAGTATTTATTAATTAATTAATATGTCAATATGCCCATTCTCATTTAGAAAGAAATTCGAGAAAAGAAAAGGAAAAATCAGCTTCCTACCTAGGACGAGGCAAATAATACTCCTATCTAGTTAGTTAATTACATATGTCATACATAACATATATATAAGAATATAATATATGTTGATACCAGATAACAATATTATAACCACCAGGGTTGGTGGTCTGGTAGAGAATGCAGGACATTCCATAGCCGCGTGCCAGGGTCGATTCCCAGGGAAGGAGTGTTTGAAATCACTTCGGTGAACACGCTCTATAAATTCCCTCGACACCTGTCCGCTGCTGTGGCATGTGTTCGCGCTTCATTGGTGCCCTGGTGGTGGGTCCCTTACTTGGTGGGGGTTAATTCCTGGCTGGCAACCGGTTACCCCGGGGTCAGGGCCCAACGGGGCCATGATAACACCACAGAGCCCTCTTTTTACTGATCAAAAAAAAAAAAAAAAAAGAAAAATGCATCATAATTTTTAGAAAAAAAAAAAAAAAGAAGAAGAAGATAACAATATTATAGAGTAATGTGTGAGCCGAGTAATTTTTCTGCACCATCGACAAACAAGACAACTAAGCCTATCCATTCTAAAGCTCAAACCCAATTAGGACCATTGGATTTGCAGAGAGCTTAACACCAAACAACACATTCGTTGATCAAGCGGTATGCCAAATAAGATATGCCGATATAATCAGCTTACATTGATGTCGAGAGCTATGGTGGGCCCAGGCTATCCTTTTTTGAAAGTGTAATAGAAAATTGGGATCTGACATTCAAGTAATGATGACAAGTTACGTAACAAAATATCTACACTAAATGACTATAAAAGGAAGGGGAGTTAAAGAAAAAATGTATGCATTATGAACCTACAAAAACTTTCTTTTTCACTTATTACACACCCCTTTTCATACACAGGCTAACTTATTCATCGGAGTGTTAATTCCGACACCCCAACCGAAGTATTTATTGCTTTAGGCATCAAAGCGAGGATCAAGTGGAGGACTGTTTGGATAGAAAAAAATATTTTAGAACCACTCCTCACAAGTAAGAATCATAGGCCCCGTTTATTTGGAGAGTTAGAGGGTGGATTAGGATTGGTAGTGAGGTGAGACCCATTAATATTGTATTTGTTTTGAGAGATGGGGAGGGGATTGATAGTGAGTTTCGGATTAGGATGGGCCTCTCCAAGGGGATTCAGATGGGCCTCCAGGACTTGGTATTAGAAAATAGTCCGGCGGACTAGAAATTTTTTATTTTTATTTATTTTTTATTTTATTTTTATATGTCGGGCATTTTTTTTTAACATTAATGTTTAATTTTTTATTTTTTTTAAAGTAAAAATCATTATTTTATTTGTTTTATTTTTTTCTGGAAATTTTTTTTTTAATTTTTTTTTAAAATTTTTTTTACATGTTGGGTATTTTTTTTAAAACATTAATGTTTAATGTTTTTGAATTTTTTTTATTTGTTTTATTATTTTATATTTATTTTTTATAAAAATAATTTCATAATCACTGCACTAACAACTATCATCAAAACAAACATAATTTTAGTTAATCCCCTCACTATCAATCTCCTCACTATTAATCTCTTCGCTATCAATCACCTCCATTCTACCTCTGAAAACAAACGGGGCCATAACATTGTTGAGTAAAGAGATAAGACACGATCACTTAATATTCTATTTATAATTTTTTATTGACTGATAATTCCACGTACGATGATTTCATTGTATTCATTCTATTTTATTGGAATTTTTAAAATAATTTTTGAGTTTTTACTTCATATTTTTGTATATTTAGTACTTTTTTTTAATATTTTAATCATTTTTTAAAACTGTTTAGATCCACTTAATCTTAATATACTTAAAAAGTATCAAACTTGTACAAAAATCTTTTAAAAGATACATTGAATATAATAAAATATGAAAATGTATTGAATTTTGGTATTTTTTTATATTTAGTGAATTTTTTTAAGAAAAATTTTAAAAATATTTTATTTTTTAAATGTATGTAGGTTGGATGTATTTAAAAATTAAAAAAATTAAGTAAAATACTAAAAAAAAAATAGTATTAAAAAAAACTCAATTTTTTTTTTAAACAAATAGAGATAACCAATGTGAATATTTTTTGGAATTGTACATTGAGAGTGAGAGTCTCTCATCAGTCATCATCACAGTACCAACCTCAATTTAGACTTGTAAGCCAAGCAGTTGAAGATTTTAAAATTTATAGAGGTCCACGACCTTGTACTCCTTATATATAAATGTCATTTATGGGGGAGTATGGTATAGTGCAGTACAGCAATAGGCACTGCCATGCTTTGCCTGTAATTTTCTGTGGTAATTAATTAGCCAATCTTATTACCAAAATCTGACCTAGCTAGGCAACTAGAATGGATGATTTATCGGTGATAAGGTCAAGTAGAAGCCTAGTTAGGCCAGCAACGAGGGATACACCAACAGGAATGCTTGAGCTGTCGGTGATCGATAGATTGCCGGTACTAAGATGCTATACTCGAACGCTGCATGTGTATAGAGATGGGCCAAGAGCAAGAGCAGCACAAGTCATAAAAGAAGCCCTGGGAAAGGCATTGGTTCCCTACTACCCTCTTGCTGGACGACTCCATCAAGGCCAAGGTCAAGGTGATCATCATCATCATCAGCTTCAGATTGCATGCTGTGGAGAAGGCGTTTGGTTCGTGGAAGCATCTGCTAATTGTACCCTTGATGCTCTCAATTACTTTGACAGCGTTTCGTCCCACCACCATATCCCATATGATAAGCTGCTTCCTGATCCTCCTCCTCCTCAAACTCATACTCAAACTGCTCAAGGTGACTGTGTAGTTGAACCCCTCGTACTCATGCAGGTAAACTTACTCCTTCCAACCAAGGTTGCGTTTAGCAATTTCTTTTTCTTTTAGCTTTTTTAATAGGAAAAAAAAGTGGTAAATGTTTAAAAAGCTGATGTATTTGAAAATTGTTAAAAAGAATAGTAGTGTTTGGTAGAGTTTTCTAAATATGATTTGAGAATAGAGTTGTATTTTGAGTTTGTGAGTTTTGAAATTATGATTTGAGCGTGAAAATTTTGTTTGGTTATGAGTTGTGAAAAGAGTTTTTGAGTTTTTGAAATTAGAAAAATTATTTGATTCAAAAACTTATAACTCATAACCAAATACACAACCCAAAATTCTATTCAATGCTCATATAAAAATTTAAAAAAAAATCGAAAATATTTTTTATTTACAATATAAAAATAACAGGTGCCAAAAAAAAATAAAATAAAATTGAATATTGTTTTAGTCAACTGGCCGGATGTCCGGGGGATGTCAGGGAGGACAACCGGGTTAGCTAAATTTTCCCACCTGAAAAGGAATTTTCAAAAATGGGTGTGAAATTATAATTTAAAATCTCAAAACAAACACCACACTTAAATCAACGGATGGAAATGTATTTGAAACACATAACCAAACACAGAATATTTTCCTAGGAGTAGTAGTGTGTCTATAGAATTATTCTTTTTGAACAGATTTTAAATGGTTGATTCTCTAGATTTAAAAATTAAATTTAAAAAAAAGATGAATCACACTAATTTTTCTTGAGATTTCTGACAATATCCGTTTGGGAAGAAAAAAACCAGGCTTTTTTGGCTAAAATAGCCACAAAAAACAAAATAGGCTATTTTAGCCACAAAAAACAAAACATCAAATTCAACCCATAATCATTACAATCCTCTCTCACAAAAAAAGTCAAAAAAGCCAAAAAGTCAAAAAGCCCTTCCCAAACCAGGCTAAAATAGCCAAAAAATCAAAAAGCCAACCCACTTCCCAAACGGAGACAGACTTTTCTTGAAATTTTAAAAATTACACTCCTCTTATTTTACTTGACAATGTACAAATGCCCCCTTCTTTTAACTTTTTCTTTGACGCCATTAATTTTTACAATGAAATGTTCAAAATACCCTCTATTTGCTCTTTTTCTTATCTCTTTTTCTTCCACCAACTATTAATTATTCCCCTCCTAATTGGCAGCTACCTTAGCCACTGCTTCCTACTTGTAGCTCAATTTCTAAAGTAAAATTAATGTGTTAAATTTTTTTATGTATTTTTATGATAATGTTATGTCTTTTTTTTTTATCGAATTGTTACTCAATAATTTGAAATACGATATAATCCATTATGATTGACTAACATTTTCATAAAAAATAATAATAATATCATAAAAATACATAATTGTATCACAATTGTTATAACACACAATATCTAATAATAAATTATCATCACACTATTAGAAAATTAGTTAATATTTGCTAGAAAAAATTATAATATTTATATAAAAAAATACATAACAAAATGGGTGATGTTTATGCAAATTATGATACTTATGGTGCTAATTATCACAAATTTCATAACTAAAAAAAATAATTAGTCATAACCAAACACAACATAAGATATAATTAAAGACATTTTCGATCATAACCAAAAATAATAATCACAATAAATAACCAACATTACAATAAGTCATAATTATATCATCACTAATACCAAAATAAGTCATAACCAAAAACTACAAACGTCATAATTGGGGCATATGATACGCACTCCAAAATGGTGTACGCACCCCAAAATGTTGTGCGTATTATAGAATTTTCCTAATAAAATATATACAATATACAAATTTTTTGTATTTTTTTTACCATCTTCATATTTTTTGTTTTTTTTTTGGGGGGGGGGGGATTTCCCTAATAAAATATATACAATACATTTTTTGTATTTTTTTTACCGTCTTCATATATTTTTTTGGGGGGAGGGGGGGAAATTCTAACAGTCTACAAAAGATGAGCATACAACTTCTTTCACCCAAAATCACTAGACCCACCATAAAAATTTGATCAATTCAATTTCTATTTTTTGATTTATCATTCATTTAATTGAGATTCATCATTCTAAATTTTTTATTTCTTTCTTCAATCAAACATTCATCCTCTATCAAGAACACTAAACCAAAATGGGTTTGGTTTCAAACTCACTATTCAATCTATCATAAAATTAAATCATATTAATTCTTTATTTTTGGTACCGGTTAGTTTGGAGGCAGAAATCGATTGGTACAATTACCACCACCACCACCACACCATTTTTGGTATAACAATACAATTACTACCATCACCACCACACCATTTTATTATGTATTTTTTTTTTATAAATATTACAAATTTTTGTAGCTAATTTTATCTAATTTTCTGATGGTAAAATGATAATTTATTATTAGATATTGTTTGCTATAACAATTGTGATACAATTATGTACTTTTATGGTAGTGTTATTATTATTATTATTATTTTTTATCAAAATGCTATTCAATCATAATAGATTATATCATATTCCAAATTATTGAGTAATATTTTAATAAAAAAAATGCATAATATTATCATAAAAAAAATAATCATATCATCAAATTTTTTAAAACACAATAATTTCACTTTAGAAATTGAGCTATAAGCAAGGAGCAGTGGCCAAGATAGCTACAAAGTAGGAGGGAAAATATGTAATAGTTGGTGAAGGAAAAGAGATAAGAAAAGAGCAATGGTATTTTTGGCATTTCATTACAAAGGTTGACATGTAACGCCCCACTACTTGCTGGCCCAAATAACTTGTGGGTTGACTAACAATACCCAAAAGTTTACAAGCTCGTGGCCAGCCCAAAATAAGTGGCCCACATGGTTGTGTGCATGGGTCGGCTCTGATACCATTTGTAACGCCCCACTACTTGCTGGCCCAAATAACTTGTGGGTTGACCAACAATACCCAAAAGCTTAAGTCCAAGTTATTTAGTAGCAAGGTAGTGGTGTTATATATGCCCAAGATCACCCATGCAAACTTCCGATGTGGGACAGGGTGTTACAGACGTCTAGGAAAAACTTAACAGAATGAAGGTATTTGTATTTGTATATTGTTAGTTGAAGTAAGGAAAATCAGTGTAATTTTCAAAATCTTAAAGGAGATTTCTATAATTATCAAAAACTTTAAAAAAGATAAGTGTAATTTATGGAATAAAAAAATTAAACGTCTACTTCTATAATTAAAACTTTAGAATAAATTTGGAGAGATGTTACAAAATTTTCACTACATCCAGTTCTTTACGAACATCCGCAGCAAACTCGCCAATTACACTGTTTAACTCTTTTATTGAGCAAAAAACGCTGCTCTAGCAGCTTTGGGCAAAACTCGTTAGCATTTTTCGAAACTAACGAATTTTGCCCAGTGAACCGTACACGCAATGGGTAATATTAAATCATTCTCATTACATACTTGCAACAACTTTTTAAAAATAAATAAATATTTAATGAAGTATAATAAATAAAATTAAAAATATAAATATCTCTCACTAATTTAACTATATAGTTTCACTATGTAATATTTGAGCTCTCATTAGTTAATGACATCACCACCTAATATTTCTCTTATATCAATATAATTGTATATGAAAATGAAAAAAAAATATTTTAAGCTAGGGAGGTTTTGTTGGAATAAAACACAGGGTGATTGGTCTAGTAGGTGATAACCGGGGCATGGTGATTTGTTTCAAGTTTGAATCCCCTAGCCAACAAACGCATATCTTGGGGCCACGGACCGTAAGGCGTAAGTCCTGTTTCGAAAAGCTTGTTCGGGTAATAAGGACTTAGTCTGGTGCGCGCGTAAACTAGTCCAAGATACCCTACATAAAAAAATAAAAATAAAAAAAAAATTTAAAAAAAAGGACTTTGTTGGAATGTATATTGAAAAGATGATTAGGTAAAATAGAAATGTGAGAATTTGGATAGTCATTTTGTCTATCATTACTGGAGATGGATAGTCATTTGGATAGTCATTATAAAAATAAAAAATAATTTTTTTCCTTCTTCCTCATGTGAAGATTGACCTTGAAAATATTAAATTGTATCAAAACAATGAAAATAAGGAAATTGAAGTTATGAGAGACATGGAAAAGGAAAAAAAGTTTAAGAGTTATTTTTCAGTGTATCAAAACTTGGACTTGGGGTGGGTGTTGCTGTCACACCCCGTGAGGGCTACAAAAGTCCTACGCCTAACTAATCCCTTTAAATCTAAAGTAAAAAAGAAGAAGAAGAAGAAGAAGAAGAAGCATAATTTGTATTCATATGTGATTGTGTTTTTACAGGTGACTCAATTTGAATGTGATGGATTCGTTATTGGCCTCACCACAGCATCTGTGATGGACTGGGAGCTGCACAATTCTTGCAAGCGGTAGGTGAGCTTGCTAGAGGTTTAGAACATCTCAGCGTTGCACCTGTGTGGCAGAGGGATTTTCTTCCGCCACGGCCACGGCCATCATCACCGTCACCATCACCTCCACAAGAAAAACAAGAACAGCTGCAGCGTGAATTGTTGCCGCCAATCAAATACCAGCTCGAGCATGCCAACATTGACATTTCTTTGGATCAGATCAATGAGTTGAAGCAGAAATTTCATGAGTCAACGGGCCAAACTTGCTCTGCCTTTGAAATTGTAGCTGCTATCATGTGGAAAAATCGGACAATGGTGGCAATAAACTTGGAGAAGGAGGAGGAGAATGACAAAGAAGATGATGATGATGATGATGATGAAAAAAACACAAAAGAAGAACAAGTGGTGAAGCTCGTGTTCTTTGCAAATTGCCGTCAGCTCCTGCAGCCTCCATTGCCGGAAGGATTCTACGGCAATTGTTTCTTTCCAGTGGCAGTCACTGCCTCAAGGGATACCCTCTCGCGGGCATCAAATGCACATGTGGTCAAGATGATCCAAGAAGCCAAGGCTAATCTGCCTAATGCATTTCGGAATTGGACAAACAAAAACAAGGATGGTGGTAGTGGTGATGAAAATGATGGTGAGGGCGACCCATTCACACCGCCCCTGGCCTACAACACGTTGTTCATATCAGAGTGGGGCCGCCTGGGTTTTAACCAGGTGGACTATGGGTGGGGCCCTCCAGTCCACGTTGTTCCAGTACAAGGATCCACCATCATACCCGTTGGGATCATGGGCTCACTTCCTTCCCCGAACAAAGGCATCCGTCTCATGACATGGTGCGTTCAGAACCCCCATTCTCCCACCAAGGATCCTCTAGAGTGAAATTTTCCTAAAGTTTCCTAGAGTACTACATTGTGTGGTTGAGATTTACTGGCAAATCACATCAGAAAAATTGATGTGACTTGCCAGTAAATCTCAACCACACAGTGTAACACTCTAAGAAACTTTAGGAAAAAATCACTCTAGAGGATCCTTGCTCCCCATCTCCACCCCTTTCTTCATCAAATGTCTCTCTCTCTCTCTCCCTCAAATAAATTAATACATTAAATTGAAGCGCACTGCTATATACATATACATATATATCACCAAAATATTTCACAATATTTTACTCTCTTTTTTATGTAAAATAAATCCAGTTATAAACAGCATTTCCCTAAATTGAGTTGTAAGAATCCGCCAGTACACTTGTGTAAAGGAATAAGCAGCAGAGGTTGTGCTGCTCCAAACCAAACCTATTCTAGTATACAGCAATGATTTAGAGCTCTAAATAAGAAGTTCTAAATCCACCACCAGTGAGGTGGAAATTAAAAAAAAAAAAAAAGAAAAAAGAAAAAAGAAAAAAAAAAGCACAACATACACTGTGACCCACTGCCACATCATTAATGGTGACTCTAATTAGAGCTCCCAAGTATTTTTCTTCTGGTATAATATATAGATGGGTTGCTTCTACTATTACTAGCTAGCCAGGCTCAAGGGCTGATGGTCTTTTGATTTTAGCACATATATTTATATTTATACTATTATATATAGAAAAGATTGGACTTGATATTTTGAAATCTTTATTTTTCTTCTTTTTAACTTTGTTCTTCTGTAATTATCATTCTTCTACAATTATTTTCAATTACACTGAATTGCAATTACGTATTTATAAATTATAATTACAGACCCCTTCTGATATTTATATAGCAAGTGTGAATGATGATGATACCAAGGAATAAATATGAAACTACATGCGATTGGATCCAACCCAACATCTGAAGTCTTGAAGAGTAAGGCACTCATGTTGTGTGGTGAGGAAATATAATAAATAAAGGATTAATTATCAAAAAGTCCTATCTACATATTTTATCTACGTATTTTGTGGTAGCTTAAGTCCTGTCAAAAAGTTTTTGAGCCATTAAGTCTCATTTATAGGTAAAAAGACGTTTTGCCCTTTAATCCCAAAAGTGAGAATGTTCTCAATTTTAAAACTGAGAATGTTCTCAATTTATAATTATCAAAAATAAGAAATTTCTCAATTTTTTCTAGTATGAATTAAGAATATTATCAAAACTAAGAAATTTATAATTATCAATTTTAAAAAATTTCTCAATTTTTTTCATGATTAAAATTGAGAATATTATAAATTGAGAATGTTTTCGACATAAAAAGCGCATGTAAAGTAGAGCACAGAGAATGGTACACCAATGGCTGCCCAAGCAAATTTGGATTCTTAGCAGTCATACTCCTAGGAGCTTACATCATCTCCTACTCCCCTAGAATGGGTACAGTCCCATGGATCATCAACTCCGAGATCTACCTATTGCGATACAGAGGAATCGGCGGAGGAATCGCCGCAGTCTCCAACTGGGTTTCAAATCTCATAGTCAGCGAGACCTTCCTCACCTTGACAATCAAAAAACACCATGTGACAGTCGTCGTCGACACATGACAGCCGCGATCGATAAGCTTGACAATCATGGTCGGCACTATGACAATCGCAGTCTATAAGTTCTGACCAGATATCCGGGCAAAATGAACGACCGGTGAACAATTTTTGTGTTTGATTTCTGTATTCCATCATCTATGCTCCTAGACTTTTTGATAAAATTATATTCATTCCTATAGTTTATATTATATATATATATATATTAGATCGATATAAAATGATGATCTTATGTTACATAAGGAAAGATGTCATCTTTGCCAGATAAGCATAAAATATTAATCACAAGAAACATAAAAAATATGGAGATACGAATCAATATATCATAAAATATTGATGTCCATACTAGGGGTGGGTGCGGATCGGTTGAGGCCACGAAACCTCCAATCCGCCATCCATCCGCCAGATTGGCGGATTGAAGAAAATCAATCCGCATCCGTCCGCCAATCCGGCAGATGTGAATTGGCGGATGGATATGAATCGGTTTGGCGGTTTGAAATTTTACAAATTTTCAACATACAAGTGAAACTATGAAACAAGTGCAACCTAGACATAATTCAATATTGGTTCCATCTATGAAATGCATACAAGTGTAATATTGGTTTCATAATTCATAATACAAGTGCAACTTGGACATAATTCAACATGCAAGTGCAATATTGGTTTCATAGCAATGTGCATAATTCAACCTGGACATAATTCAATATTGGTTCCATCTATGAAATGCATACAAGTGCAATATTGGTTTCATAATTCATAATACAAGTGCAACCTGGACATAATTCAACATACAAGTGCAATATTGGTTCCAATTGACATAATTCAATATCACCCAAAACATTGTGCATCCAATGGGCATAAATCATCTAACTTAAACATAAAACATAAGAAAACATTGTGCATCCAAGTGACAATCATCCAAGAGTTCCAAAAATCAAAAAGTTACAGTCATCCAACAAGCATTGTGCATCCAAAAAAAAAAAAAAGTTACAGTCATCCAACAAACATTGTGTATCCAAAAAAAATAAGTTACAGTTATCCAACAAGAAGCAAAAAAACCATTCATTTCCTTTCACCAAACCATGAGCCATGTAAACTTGCATAACAAAAAAATGAAATTATTTAATAAGGAAACACTAAAAACAAAAAGTCTTAAACTTAAACAATTTTGTTGAATCATGCGCATTTCATTGACTCTTTCATTTACATTGGAGGCATGCACATTTGTTGAATCAAGTGTGGCATAATGATTATACAATTAACTCAAACAATTTTTCACCTTGTCTAACATTTCTTTCATTTTCATCACATCTCCACCAAAAATTGTTGAAAAACAAAATTGCAAGTATGTCATTTTTCTTTAAGGATCAAGCACTACCGCAACATACAAAAGTAGATTGATTTTATCCCCATTTCCCCAATACTTGTCAAACTTCTCTTTCATTTTCTTTGCCATTGAAGACAAAATAGGATCATTGTCTTTAATTAATTGTCCAATCATATTTTCAATGACAAAAATTTCAGTGTAGAATATGTTTGAAGTAACAAATGAAGACCCAAAAAATCTCTTTGTTGCATTGTAGAACATTCTAAAAAATTTCAAAAACACCCTACAATTATCCCAATCCTCGGCTGTAGGCATCTCTCTCCTCTCAGCCCCTTCATCATCCAAAAAGTAGTGTTTGTAATTGTAGTCCTCCTCACCCATTTTTTGAAAAACACTCTCAAATTTTTCCGCCGCCTCCAACATAAGATATGTGGAATTCCACCGTGTTGGCACATCTAAGCACAAGAGACTCTTACTCTCAATTTTCAAACTTTCCACATATTTTTTAAAAGTGTCAAGATGATTTGGAGAAGACCTCACATATCTCACTGCATGCCTCACATTCGCTATACAAGATTTAAGATCCTTCAATCCATCACTAACTATGAGATTTGGAATATGCGCACAACAACGCATGTGTAAAAATTCATGGCCCAAGACAGTTCCCTTCCATAGTTTTGTGGATCGTTTCAAGAATCTAATAGTTAGATTATTGGAACTCGCATTATCAACAGTTAAGGTAAAAAGGCCATCAATGTCCCACTCTTTCAAGAGTGCCTCAATTTTTTTACCAAGAGTTTCTCCTTTGTGGTCTTCAACTTGACAGAAATTTATGCTCCTCCTTTGTAACTTTTCGATCATCATCAATGAAATGTGCAGTTAGACACATATAACACAAATTTTGTATGGAAATCCATGTGTCTGTGGTAAAACAAATTCTACGCCCCTTCACAATTTTCTTCAACCTCTCCCTTTCATTGGTGTATATGTCTAGAATGTCCCGAGCAACGGTATATCGAGATGGATTCTTGAACTTGGGATGCATGACATTACAAAACCTCTTAAAACCAACCCCGTCCACAAATCTAAAGGGCAATTCATCAATTATTAACATCTCTGCAAGATACCTTCTAGCAACTTCTACAGAAAATGACATAGCCACAACATCAACAACACCCTCCCCACCAACTTCTCTAGGTTTAAATCCCAATGATTGTTGCCTATGAGTATCCCTATATGGATACTTTGTACAATTTTTCAAATGACTTAACAAATTACTTGTTCCATGACTCTTAGAGCCTGCCATATATTCTTTCTTACAATACTTGCACATAGCCCTATCTTTCCCATCAATGCCCTTAATCTTTTCAAAATGATCCCAAGCATTTGATGTTGTTCTCCCACTACTACTACTAGTTTTGGCTAGGGGTGGTCTAGGAGGAGGAGCATTAGGTTGGGTAGAAGGGTTAATAGAAGATGATTCAGGCTCAACATTAGGACTCAAAAAAATGTTTCTTCACTTGAAGGATCCATGACCACAAGATTATCAAATATACTGCCAGAACCAATAAAAATTCATTCAAAATAGGCTTTTCAAATCCATGGTCTAACAACAGTTTAACAAAAAAAAGCTTGAAAGAAAATAAACCATGTATTTATTAAACATATAGAGTATTCAATTAATTGTAAAGCTACAGATTGGATTTTTTAATATTAGACAGCAACAAGCAACTGAGAAGAGTATTCAACATATAGAGTATTCAATAAACCACGTATTTAATGTAAAGCTAACTGAGAAGACTATTCAATTAAACATATAAGCAACTTAACATCTATTTTGCAACTCAGTGGAGTCTTCTTCGTTGGAAAATTCTTATTCTTCGCAAAACTTTCTTGGCAAAGCTTGAGACCTAATTGTTACAATATTGGTTAATCTTATCTTATAATTGAAAAGCATATTGAAAAAAAAAAAAAAAAAAAAAATTTGAAAAGTTCTTACTTGCCTAAGTCTCTACAGATTGGATAATATTTATTGTACCACAACAAGATCAATAGTAATTTGACATCAGAAGCGAAGGATTCAACTGGTGGAACTTTAAACATGGAGTCTAGGTCATAATAGGTTGCTCACAATCTTCAAACAATTTATTAATAGAATACGTTGCTCACAATCTTTAAACAATCAATTAACTTTAAACATGAACTTTAAACAATTTCAACATGTGATGAACTGAGAGACAGAATAGGTTGCTCACAAGGCAACCTTAAACATGGAGTCTAGGTCATAAATTTAGCACAGTCATATACTCATAAAACTCAGAAACATTACTAAACATGATTAATACTCAGAAACATGATTAAACATGAGTATTTGATCAATGACAGCCCAAATTTATGATTAATTTAACATGATTAATTTAACATAGTCAAAGCCCTAATTAATTAACAAAACACAGTCAAAGCCCTATCAGATTCAGAACACAATTGAAGCCCTGAAGAGAAGAGAAGAAGATATGTACAAAGATAAGAAGAGAAGAGAAGAAGTCGAAGTGACACGCCCCACTTTTTA